TTCATTCAAAGAGATTCTTGGCCAAGAAGTAAGAGAATTGAGTTTAATGATATGCTTTCTGGCTACCTTAAATCTATAACCTCCTCCAGAAATTCAGATAAGCTCTCTACTTGAAAATCATCTCCCTTCCACTGCTCATTCTATTTGTTCCATTTCTTAAGCATATACTTAAATTCCCTATTCAGAAATAGGACCCCTGATCCAATGATTTTACGACTGTATAATATCAACTATATGGAATCCCACCTTTCTTGATTCATTTCTTTCAAGTTTATTTATTTTGATATTTTGCATAGTCTCTAGAGCAAGAATTTTCAAAATTAATGCATCATTAGGCATCTTTGATTTTTAGAAGGATAATGAACAAGGAGAATATGTAAATAGATTTCAAAAACGATTTCCACTAATATCATTGGTAGATGCAATTGACTATTACTAAGAAAGTGTGTGTTAGGATGATGCTTTAATTTTCAGCATTTCAACACTTAACCAAAAATTAAAATTAATTATTTGCTAATCAATGTCCATTAAAATGTGTTAATAAAAATATAATTACACAAAGATCAGTTGAAATCACCCATAATTAACATAGAACTGAGTTGTTCACATATGTATGTATGTATGAGTATATAGATGTATTTATATAACTGAGTTATAATACATATATATGTATATCATTACTTTAGAAGTATTAAAAGCAGGCTAGTCCCAAGTATTTGGAGATTAAAGATGCTCCAATGTCCAATGATTCCAAGATGCTATTTTGCCACATTTTCCCTAACGTGTGGATATTCCCTCACTGCCTTAGGTTTTGGGGTTCACTGAACATCCCATTGAAACTTTAAGGAAATGTCTCATGTGGTTGTGGGTGCTGTTCAGCCTCCCATACAAAGGTCAGCCATGTGCAAGTTCTTGAGCCAGAAATGAAAAATATGCAGAAGTTAAGGCGAGTCTTCTTGCTTCTATCAAACCTCAGTCAAGAAATAGAAGTATGGATTTTGACTTTTTGCAGACTACACTCCCGAGGAAAACAAAGGCTGGAGTCACATCCTGTGGTAAAGTAGCCTGAAAGATGCCCCAAAGGAAACAAAAATGCGTGCTTGGTTCACATCTTTTGCTAAAGTCAGGTCTTAATGCCACCCGAATCCTATCCATTAGTATAATGGAAGATGCTCCATAAAATGGGATCATAGCCACAGACTTGATTCCACAATTATAACACATCACACAGGACTCAAAACCCAAATGCCATTGCATTAGTTCCAATTCATAGGGACCCTTTTGACAGGGTAGAAACTCCCCTGCGGGTTTCTGAGGCTGTAACGCTTTATAGGAGTAGATATTCTCATCATCACACCCAAGAATGCCTCGTTGTTTTGTATGTTCAATGCATGATCATTACTCCCCCCGGGCTCCTGAAATAGTTAGAAGAGCCATATTAATTGACCCCATCTCATACAATATTTTGTTAATAATTTATATATACAATTCAATAAAATTTATTGCAGTCTTCAAAATGTGCAATAATTATCTCTAACCTTTCCCATATCATTTTCCTACTATTAACCTAGACTCAATGTCCTCTCACCAAACAGTTTTTTCTTTTCCCTTTCCTCAGACGCTTGATAACTGTTAATGATCTTTGGTTTCTATATATTTTCTTATTTTGTGTAAATAAAATCATACAGTATTTGCTCTTTTGAGTCTGATTTATTTTTCTCAGTATATTTTTTCATCATTCATCTGTGTTTTGGCCTGCATCAGAACTTCCTCTCTCCAACAGCTTCTATGGTTTTAAAGGCTTGTCTTTAACAATTGACCATCTAATTGAGGTCACAAAGAAAAAGTCCACAGGGAAAAGCATCCTAGCTCAGGTGATCCAAAGATATTAAAGGGTAAAGTCACGATCAGAAGGGCAAAGGTGTTAGAGCTTAAATTGAATGCCTAAGTAAATTAAATTAAATTAAAATGAATATTGAATGCCCCAAATCCATTTGCAAAATGTCTATGTGAATTAGATATCCATTGAATTCTGTCAGACCACATCATCAGTCTTTTCCACAGAAAGGATGAATTGAAAATTAGACTACTGCCTGTTCAATCTGGTTTAAACTGAATATTTTACTACTTTGTACTTTCTTTTGGAATGAGAATTTTCTGTGCTCTATTTTGTTATTGCTGATGTGTTTTTTTATACTGTTGTTATTTTTTCTTTTATTTCATTTCGTTGTGTATGATTTTCTTTATATAAAATCCAGGATAGATAAAGTTATTGAGACAACAACTAGATCAGCAATTCCTTGGGGTTATAACAGTGGAGGTAAGAGTTACAGGAGATGCTAATAAAAATGGATAAACAATGAAGAAAATGTTCCAAAACTGATTGTGGTGATGATTGCACAGCTCTTGTGATTTATTTTCACCATTTATTTATATTATTTTTTAATTGCATAGCAATTATTTTTGTCTGTTTAGTATTCCATTGGTTATATATCACATATCTTGTTCATACAGTCATGAAGACATGACTGCTGAATATTTCCATTGTTTCTTTATAACTACTGTGGGAAATGCTGCAGTGA